TTGAGGTCCCTTCCAACCCTGGCAATTCTGTGATTCTGTGATTCTATGTCCCATGCCTTTCTGGGCCTGCCAATGAGCCCTGTTCATGCTGGATAGCCAAAATGTGACAGAGGATTTAGCTCACCTTTCCAGAAAACACAGACCAGCCAGCAAGCGTGAGTAAACACTACTCAGAAAAAAACTACCCCTTAGATATCCTCCATCTCCTCGTGATGAATGAGCTGCAGCATGGGCAAAAGGTGAGGAGGCTGAGCCATAGCTTTAACTCATGAATCTCAGCAAAATGAGTGGTAAAACCTGTGAAATACGCTCCATTTTTCATTCTGTTCTTCTTTTTATTTTTGGTTTGGGGCTCCCTGCCTTGTGCCAGCATGCGCAGCCCATGCCTAAGTGGCTATGGGCCACAAGGGCTGTGCTTTGACAGGGCCATGGAGAACAACAGGGCTTACTAGGGAAAAGGAGGGCCAATGTGGAGCTGAATTGTTCAAATGAATTCTGTACTTTTCCTAGTGTGACGTCAGGCTGCCTTTTCTTCTGAATTGCAGTAAAAATAAATACAGCTAGAATGTGGGCATGGTTTGGAAAGAGATTAAGGAGAAGTTTTAACATTGGTTTCACTGAAGTGGAAATGATTTTTGATAGCCAGCTGGAACCTGGTAGAGGCACTCGGTCTAAGCTGAGAGCTCGTGCAGCTGGAGTTTCATAATACAAAATTGCTAGTCTTTCATTTATTAGTTCAGAGCCAGATCCTAAAATCTTATTTATATGACTAGTCCCTCTGGGCCATATCCTTATTTCTCTTACACCAGACTGACTCAGGAACAAAAGAGGGGATGCCTATGAGGCAAACCTTCCTCATTAAAAGGTCCCTCCAGAATGGAAAAATAAAACACAGTTATGGTCATGTCCCCCAGCCTGCAGCTCGGAGGCATGGACCAGTACAGAAATAAGCTACACACCAGGCAGCTTTCTTCAGCAGAGCTAGCATGGCCCTCTCGAGTCCTCCATTAGCTCCGTCTTCAAATGAGGGTTTAGTTGAAGTACCTGGTATTAATCATACAGGTCATAAATTTTTGGGGTCCAGTTTACCTCAAAACCTGCTCCCCCCTGTACATTAAGCAACACAGCAGTTGTTACTATGGAAACATTCAGCACAGAGATGGTTGGCTCAATAGCCTGGGCCCTTCATTTGGACCTAAAGCCAGGTACCTTGAATTCTTGGTAGTTTGCTGTCTGACACTCATTTGGTGTGAACCAACTCTGCATTTTCTGGGACAAAACATAGGAAAGTTAGAGCCAAGGTTAGCGCCAAGGTTAGTGCCACACTGGCTGTGTGGATCCAGACCATAACAGGTTTGACCTCGCTGCAGAGTCATCCAGCGCTGGCATGAGGGAAGGCACCTTTCTGCCCTCTCACATGCCACATTGTCATCCCCACTTATCACACACCTTTGGAGCCAGGAAATAAAGCAGCAGTTCTGGAGGGTCACAACATAACCCTCTCATTGTTTTATGTTCTTCAGGCTACTCCAACCTCCCAGTGATACCACTTATAATGATGGACAGGCCAATTTGTTGCATAATGTAGGCTCAGCTTCTTTGCTGCAGACAGATCCAACCCGGAGCAGTTCAGGCAGAAGATGCTGCATGATGCTTGTCTTGGAGACAGGATGGTACAGTGTCAACTTAACTATGAGGACCTGTAGAAAGGATGCACCAGATGGGAGATTGGGCATGGGAGATCCTGCCAAGAGCAGAATGATGGGCAGAGTGTGGAAGTCAGATCCACATCAGATATCAGTTTGGTACAGTAATGTCTAAGGTCACAGAGACCTATGTTAGTTATCCATATGGTGGCACACAGGTTTGCCAGCTCAGATCCAGATGCTGTCTGGGCTATGAGCCCACTAGGAAGGATTTATTAACGTGAGGACAGTGGGAAGTCTAGGCCTCCAACCTTGCTTCTAGAGCTAGGGGGAAGTTCCTCTTGCCAGCACGAGTGCCCCCTTACACATCTTTCCTGCCTATCTAATCCCATGCCTATCTCCCACATAGCCTGGGGCTTCTTGAACCTGGTGGAGTAGCCTCTGATGTATTTTGACTCCCATGCCAGCAATTTCATCAGCTGCTTCCTGAAATGTCAGCTGGAGAATGCAAAGGAGAGAGAGAAAAGGCAGGAGGAAGAAGATGAAGGAAATGGCCAAGGTCTTATGCACACATGAAATGCTAGGACTCAAATGAAGTCAGCCTGCTATCTGACACGTGTTCATGCTGTACAAATACCCCAACAAACCAGAAAGCTGGGAAGAGATTCTGAGGCAAGAGCCTGCAGAATTGAGACAGTAGGGGCATGCCTTGCACATACCCAGAGACAAGAGACTTCACAAATCAAGGAAGAAATTCCCTAGGAGAAATATTGTGCTGGGTGGAATCCATCAATTACTCTTGTTAGCACCTGCAAGCATACTTTTTAACAAAGCAGCATTCTCTCACCCTGTGGAAATGCACTGCACATCCTGCCAGGCTAATTAAATAGCAGTCCCTCCCTCACCAATTTGGGTACTGCAGTGGGTGTGTGTGAGCTCAGCCTTTGCACACAAAGGGCAACCATCCCCAGGTTGGTTTCCAATCTTCCAGCAGCAGGGATCTGCTCTGTGCCTGATGCCAGGGCTGAGCATGCTCTGCAAATCAAGCCCCCACCTACTTCCCACCCAGCCAGAGCAGCTGTGCAGGGCTCTGCCCCCACTGAGCCTGCATCTGCCTGCCGAGGCTTCATGGGAGTAGCAAGACTTGGCTCACCTTCCCAGCCCTGCCTAATCCACAGCCAAGTTACGTGTAATACCATGTGCTGCAGAGCAGTTCTGTTTGTCAACCTGGAGGGCTTTGTGAAAGCCCCATAAAACAGAGGCATAGCACAGCCAGTTCAGTGTGGTTTGGTGTGCAGCAGTGATGTCGTCTGCACCTGGACACCTCTGGGACCTGTTACCATTACCAAGGGCAGAATAAAAAGTCCTTTGCTTCTTGACTGCATTTTTGAAAGCTGAGAGGACTACTCAGGGATTTCTGAAGCTTGAGTTGATTAGCAGTTAATGATGTGCGTCCTGAAGAAAAATTAAGATTAAATATTGTGCTCATTTTGGAGCAGGGCATTTTCATATTGAGATTTACAGCTACTTTGTTGGTATTTCGGGAAGTGTTTTGGTCTGCCCAAGCTCTTGGTTACACAGCCACTCACTCATTTTACACAGATATAAATTAAACAATTGAAAACATATTAAAGCACAGAAGTGTGTCTGTTATAACTGCATGCTAACTTTCAGGGAATGCTATTGGAAAACAGACATCAGTCACTTCTTCAGCAATCAGGTGATGCATTCTCAAGAGCTGCACACTTACCCAGGGTCATGCTGTCCCTGCACTGACTTCCCTGCAGTTTGCACATTGCCTGTTCCAGCCTGACTAAGGTGCTTCAGCAAAGCTCACCTTGATGGTTGCCTCAGCACTCACTATCCTCCTTTGACATCTCTCAGCTGTATTTGCCTTATACTCACTTTAAAGTTCTGCACAGCCCTGTCCTTTCCTTCATACTGTGCTTCTGAGCTGTGTTGCTCATTGGTGCCCTCCACCCTGGTGGCATATCCAAACTCAGCTACCTGGGTGTCATCCCCTCATCATTTCTGCCCGCAGTCATAGAATAGAACAGAATCATAGAATCATACAATGGCCTGGGTTGAAAAGGAGCACAGTGATCATCCAGTTTCAACCCCCCTGTTATGTGCAGGGTCGCCAACCACCAGACCAGGCTGCCCAGAGCCACATCCAGCCTGGCCTTGAATGCCTCCAGGGATGGGGCATCCACAGCCTCCTTGGGCAACCTGTTCCAGTGCATCACACCCTCTGTGTGAAAAACTTCCTCCTAATATCTAACTTAAACCTCCCTCTGTCTCAGTTTAAAATCATTCCCCCTAGTCCTTGGGATGCAGTGCATCTTTCCTGAGGGAAAAGAAAACTCTTAATATTTATGTATTTTGATGCCTTCCTTCCTGAAGACCTCCTCCTCTCCTGTTGTCTCCAGGAAATGCAGTTTGCACACATATTGATTTAAAAGAAAGGAGAAAGAGAAGGTGGTGTTTCCTAATGTGTTAAGAGAGAAACAAATCATGCCTTCTCTCCCTTTCTAGGGGTTTGTCTGCATAACAAGATGAAAGTGTGCTTGTAAAGACGTACAAGAGCAGCAGAGATGTGGTGGAACAGGCTTCAGGTGTCACTGACAAGTCTCCAGAGGGCAACTGTGTTGCTGAGCTATTCTGCACCCCATATACCCTCCTTTCACTCCTCCTGTTACTCAGGGTAAGAAGGTTCAACGAAGCATAGATATGCTACATTCATGACTCTATTTTGCTGCAGAGACATGCTAGAAGATCAACACCTAACACTTCATGTCTAGCAAAGAGTGACAGCGCAGTGAATAAAATGAGAGCACTAATGTTCTTCTTTTCTTCAGTGACTATTAGAATAGTTTGTTCAAAGGAGTAACATAAGCAATGCAGCCAGATAGGCTAAGCTGGACAAAAGCTTCCGGTCCCATGTGGCTATTAAGCATTTCCAATTAATTAAACTCTCAGCTGATAAATACATACAGCCACAATGGGATAGGTATCTCTTTAAAAGCAACTTTACTACCCTAGGGAACCCCCAGGGAAATAATTTGCAGAGCAGGTCTGCGGTCTGTACTTTGTGATATATGAAACATAGATCACAGGAAAAAAGACACTAAATCTAGAACTAGCTGAAGGAAACATAAAAGATATCTCAAAAGTTCTGATTCAGCATGTACAAAGTCTTTAGTCTTTAATACGTATGAACTGTTAAAACTTGAGCTTCCAGTCTCACGACAGAAAAAGCAGAGTTACTGGAATTGCTCTGTAGATGTCCTGAGTTATTACTATTACCACTGATACAGAGCTCATATAAATTTTGTTACTAGGATAGCTGTGACAGCCTTGTGCCTTTTTCTCACCCCCTCTCTCACTTTTCAAATGCTAAGCCGAATTTCTAGGTTGCAAGAGCCACTATGGTTCACATTAGATTGGTTCTGCTTCCCAGCATGGCTGAGCCCGCTCTGTGTGGCCGGGAGGATTAGCGGAGTCAGCTCAAGGCATGTTTTAGAGGAAGCTGGATGCATTGTAAGTGAGCCTGCCAAGGCAGTTTAGAGGAAGAACAGCAGCACTGCTGACAGAGATAATAGCCCTGCTAATAGGTATGCCACATCTTCAGAACACGTTCAAAATACAGATGCATGCATCTCTCTTTCTTCAGTTGGTGAAAACTAATAATAATAAAATATTTTATTTTCAATAACATCCTGTTAAAGGAAATGTGGCTTAGCCTAGAGTTATCTGCTAATTTGAGGGAGAAAGGTTGTTTTAATGCACTGTAAAACAATCATTTGTATTACGTTTTGGTATTGGTTTTCTGTAAAAGCCTAAAGGTCATGTTCCTACTTACTGTAGAATTATCTGGTATATATCCAGAATAAAGGAAAGAAGAATAAAAATTCTTTCCTTGGCAGCTGGAACAAAATGTCTTAAGCAAAATCATGTGTTTGAATCTACATCCAGACACAGCTCTTACTACTGCAGGTCTGAAAATTTCTCCTATAGTCAAACGTTCATCACAAGTCCTGTATTTTAAACAGTGCACTGGGCTTCATTTGGATTGCTTTGTCCATGTAGGAAGATTTTTAGATACTTTTGAACGTGACCTTTGGATCATTCTGACAATGAAGTTTTCATTTTAAGAATGAACTCACAGGGTTAATTCAATTTGGCTTTCTTGGACCCCTGTTTTTTCAGGGGAGCTTCCTACCTCTCGAGCTGCAGATGGGACACCTCGTCAAACACCAAGCTCATATAGATCTGAACTTAGAAAGCATTTCAAAAGAAAAAGTGGAATCACTTGAAATGTTATCACTCTCTTCTTTTTTCTTGTTTTTTGGATTTAAAACTGGTTTGTGACCTACTGGTTTCCTGTGAAGATGTTTATTGGCTGAAAGTTTTACCCAATATTTGGATGGAATATCAAAACTGTGAGTTCTTCTACCTGATGAATCTTTGCGTTGCACAGATTTAATGGGTCATATGGTAAGATGCATTTTTTTTCTGATGGATGGATAAAACATCTTATGTAAGAAAAAAACAACTAGTGAAAGAGGTGCTTCTGGCACAAACACTTGGAGGTCTACTCATTCATTCTTAAAATTCATGCCATTTTCCCACACAAGAGTTGTCACATACTTGGCAGCAATCCAAGTCCTCGTAAATAACATAAAACATAATCTAGGAATAAAAGCAACTGAACACAGGTCTTTTAGCTGCAAAACCTCTACAGATCAGATTCTGAAAATATATGTGTATGTTTTCAGCTATTTCTGTTAACAGCGTTTGCTGTAAAACAAAACCTACTTACACAGATGGCTGCATGTTAGTCTTTCTGGGATTTTTTTTTACCCCTTAATTCCTGCGTTTTCTTCTTATTTGTGGATTTGAGTCAGACTGTCCATGTTATTTTCATAGAGCCATTTGTGTTCTAATTAAGGAATAAGGAGCAGAGCCCGTCCTGGGGATTAGGAGTGACTTGGAGTGTTGACGCAAAGCTGAGAGCCATTAGCAACACCTGGCCTTTAATTCCCCAGGAGATGCTAGTGCCAAACTCATCATGGCTGTTTCTAACAGTCCATGCTGGTTGTGGGTTTTGTTTTGTTTTGTTTTCCAGTGGGGAAAAAAATATATTTTTTTTACTTTTGAAAAGTACCAAAGGGCAGGTAAGATTTCTGTGGCTCATCATCCAGGAGACAATAGGAATAAAAAGAACGTGGAGCATCTATAGAAATAAAATATTTTTTATTTACCAGCCCACTCGTGTGTCTACATAGCAAGTAGCAAGGTGTGATGTATTTTCAGATATACCAACTTCCAGAAAAACAGATTTCATTAGATGAACCAAATTCCAAAAGAATTATAAAATGAACGAAACTTGCTATATATCTTTTTTTTTTTTATAAATCCCATTAGTGTTTATTGTTAACCATACAGAATAATGACACGATAATGTTATCTAATTAAACATATTTGTGCTTTAGTTGATTGAGAGGGAATGGGGTCTATACCCATCTAAGCAGTTCTGCATTCCTGCTGGAAATACATTAGCTGTTCCTGTCCTTCCCCATGTTACTGCAGTATCTTTGTCCAGCATAGGCTTGCATCACTTCTGGGAGAACACCTTCACTAAGATCTTACACAACATTAATGGACATTCATGCATAGTATAGCTATATGTATGTTTCAATGACCCAGATAAATGTGCATAATTTCCTTTATGCATGAGTGTTTAATTATAACGAGTTGTGACTTTTGTAGTTTATCTCAGCCCCCCAGGGAGCCCTTGAAAATGAAATTTCCTATTCTCTGGTATGCGAGCAGTACAATTTTAACATAACCCTATACTAGGATATCATAATCCATGGTGCTTCTCTGCTTTTCTTCCTCTTAATGTATGCAGAGGAGCACAGACATTGAAGCTGGAGTTTGTGAAACAGTGAGTTTGTACGGAAAGCAGAAGGTTGCAAATTAAAAGAAAGATTTAATGAGAAATGGGCTGCATGACAGCAATCAGGACTTTTTTTTATAAGTCACTTAAATTACTGGCCACATATTAATTCAGAGGTTAATTCCTCTGGTTAAACTAATCACTATTAATCAATGAAGCTGTTAATCACATTGCTGAGAGCACAGGACCGAGCAAATTGGACACTTGGATAATTTCTTGGTCTTACCAAAGCTGCAGAAAAGTTTGTGTTTCCGTCAGAAAAATGAGCAAAGGGTTAACGGACTTGCAAAAGATGTCAGTTTGCAGCAGCATTAAACCCTTCTCTGTTTAAAGTGTTTTTGAGGTCTTTTCACTCACCCCCTGCATTTCTTCCAAACATGTGCTTTTGCCCAACACTTGCACCCTCTCTCTTTCACATAAACGCATGCAAGCAAGGATGGAAAAGGCTTGCAATGGAGAAATTTCAAGTGGAAGATTGATGGCCAGCGATTGTGAAGCCAAATCACTCACTATACTTGCTTTGCACTACATGATTTCCTGCTGTTGTTTCTAGTTACAGTAGATAATAAAAATTGTTACAAAACCCTCTTAACAAGAAAACAAAACACAGATGGCATGTTGAATGTAAAGCATCTGGGGATGGCAATCACTGCGGCCTCAAAAGCTATTTTGTTCCATCCCAGTTTTCTTGAGAAGTGGGAAAGGGGCGGCCGGAAATGCTGTGCGAGCTGCTGGAGGAATGAGCCTCTGCCAGCGACAGAGAGAATCGGCCTGTGCTGGGAAGTGACTGGATCTTCGAGGGGACAGTGGCTTTCAGGAATGCTTAGGGCTAATGCACAGTGTTATTATCCTCTTATCTCTCAGGGCCCGGCTGGGAGAGCAGTCCCTAAGACATTTGTTCCTGGGACTGAGCACCAACTATTTACAAACCTGCCCGGATACTTGTAAAAAAAAAAGAAAATGTGGTTATTATTTGTGCTGTAAATTCTGAAAATGGAGTAGTAGTCAAGGCTTAAAGAGCAGATGAAGCCTTACTGAAAACTTTTAAAAACATCCCATTGAGAAATATTTATGCCTTGCATCATATTTTAAGTCTTTCTCCTCCCTTGTTCTTTGGTAATACAGATAGTGAACCAAATCTGGGAATCAATTACACAGCGTATGTTTGGCATAACTTCACTGACCCCTTTTGTGTTAGCTGGCCTGCCTTTACAGCCTGGTGCCGCAGAGATCACCGGGTTCAGCTTCAATACAAAGGTTCCTGTAATGAATGCATTCATCTACTCCCGTGGGCCAGGCTCAGAGAATGCTACCTGCTTGGGGAATATTACCCATTTGCTTGTGAGAACATGAAAACAGATAATGACAGATAACAAAGCTCTATGCCCTCGTCCTTGTTGGCAAGTGAAAAGCAATAGAGCGTATCTGGGAGGAGATTTACACCAAGATGCTCTGGCCTTATTCCCCGGTGGAAGCTGATAGGGCTGCACAGGCTGCTACAATTTATGCTGGCTGCTGAGGCCTCCTTTTTCTAGCAGACATGAATCTCACTGGGCAAGAGAGCAGTTTCTACATTTGCTGTGTGTGGTGTCTCCAGGCCTTCAGTGTTTGGACAGAAACAATTTACAGACAATAGGTGTCAGCGTCTGCTTTTGGCCACGGATTTAGGTGGCTCTTTCTCACATTGTTCCTCTCTGGAGGCTGCCTGTATGGACATCAAGTGGTCCTGAGTCTAACAGGCAAAAGCAATATGAAACAGAGCTGTCTGAAATCTGTGGGATGAACAACAGGCTTACTGTTATGTATTTCTTTGTTCCTACTGACAGAGTTTATTCCCTGCTCACCAGACACATTCTATGCC